GTGACATATTTGACAACTGTATTTGGGAATAAGACTCAACAATCAACTATTTTCATTGGCTCTGATTGGTTGTTATCATTCAGGGCCAGTGTAATCTTGCAAATACCATTAGGAGCACTCGGAGGAGCCATAAGAACCAGATTTTTTCACAAATGATATGTCTGTTTTTTTTAAAATAGAAATTACCAACTTTATTGCATTCTTTAACTGTTTAACCGTGCAGTCATTAGCAAGTAATAGAAAAAAGTGTATTCAAGTTCAACGTATTTGAAATGACAAAAAGTATTTCTGATGTTTTTAGATGATAATTGGATACAGGTCACATGTATTACATTCTAACCTCTGGATGTTGGTTAAACAGCTGACCCACGAAGGAGGATCCGCTCCGTGTGGTGGCCAGAATGAGAATGTGGGTTCTCTTGTTGGCACTGTGGGAGGGGAGGGAGACAGAGGGGGAGGAGGTGTGGGAGAGGATCTCATCACAGCCTTGGTCCGAGCCCTCAAGTGTCTCCTGGCCCAGTTGTGTCAGATCTTTGAGGCTGCAGTTGACGGCGTGGCCTGTGAGTGCCAGGCCCAAAGATTTGGTGGAAAAGGTGCGGATGGCTGTGTACTGGATGGCTATAGAGGCTAATGCTAGCAGCACCATGGACTTCCAACAACACTGCATGGTGGCTGGGCAGAAGCATCAGGAAGCCACAGCACTGTCTGTCAGACAAGGGGTCAAAGACAGAAAGACAGGAGACAAAGAGATTTTAAGACTGACATCTTTTGTTTTCATTGGTTCACTCTTACTGCTCTCATCAGCCTTGTTAAACCCTGATAAACCCAATGTACACTCCCTGCCCAGCACCAAAAGACAAAGTTAGAGACTAGCTGGTGAACATTGGTGGAATTTAGCTGCTGACAAGACAGATATTTTTCGCAGGGTTTGGTGAAGATCATAAGAGAGCTAAATGTTGAGTGAATATTGGACTGTTATTCATGAGGTGGACACAACTCCAAATGAATGTTGCTCTGTGGCTGCTGGATGTCTAAATGGCTGTTAAAATTATATGGAAATAGATAACGTTAACATTTTCATTGATCACTGTTGTAGGCCTAAGGTGATTGTTTCATGCTCCAATGGTGTAGCCTTTAGACACCTGTGTGGACAGAGGGGACAACAAGTTTTTGGCTGTGTCTTAAATGACTTCCATGTTTTCTAGGTCACTTTTAAATAATTATTTTGTGTCAATACCATCTGGTGTGGCGACTATGCCAGTGGGCAGATAATCAAATCGGTCAACTGATCCTTTCTAAGTCTCGCCTCTTTTTGCTCTGTGCTTCAATAACAGTTGAGTAAACCTCGGTCAGAACCTCGTCAACTTACTTTTTCTGTACTTATATGGTATGTGCTAGGCTAATCTATGTTGAGAAGACAACCAAATTTTGTAGATGGTACAAAATTAGCTAATGTTAGCAAATGCTAGCTAATGAGCTAGGTAATATACATCAATTGTTAACTAGCTAATTAGCTGGCTAGTTAGCTACTATTTTACTAGAGACCAAAGCTACCTAGCTAGCTAATCTACATTAATTATTAGCTAGTTAGTTACATGTAATAGCTAATGTTAGCAAAACACTGGCCCAAAAGCCATCAGCTTAAATTGAATTCAATTGAATTCAATTTTATTTGTATAGCTCCAATTCATAACAGAAGTTATCTCAGGACACTTTTCAAATAGCGCAGGTCTAGACCGAACTCTTTATAACCCTAAATTGTGAAAGAAGCAGCTGTAAAACGGTGGATAGATATTTTGGAGCATCAAAATGATGATCCATTTGGTCCAATAACAGCCACACGTTAAAATAATTTTATTTCCATTCAAGTTACCGTAGGGCTAAACTGGAAGTTAGCGGCTCGGCCAGCGAAAGTCTCTAATGCTCATCCTCTATGGGCCACACAATGCAGAAGCACATGCATAAGATCCTGATCAAACTTTTTTGGCTTCATGAAGCTCTGAGCAGCTTCCACAGGAATGAACGGATCCTGCCGCCAACGCTGTATCCAGTTCCTAATACAGCCATGAGATGAGATTAGCTACTTAGTCAGCTAGTTGGCTATTAGCTAACTTAAAATGTGATTACTCTGTATCTTATTTACTTTTGTAAATCTAATTGTATTTCCTTATTTTGTATATATATATATATATATATATATATAAATATATATATATAT